GTGACGTAGCTAACCAGCTATAGATTGTCACAAAGGTAAGAAACGTAGCAGGTTGAAAGGTTAGCCTCAGGGTATCTCTTCACTTTAATTATAAAACTCAGCAAAACACAGCACAGTGGTTTGTTGTGGTATGTTTGTCTGTATGCTTTGTTGTCACCTTGCTGGTCAGTTGCAATGCTGGAAAGTAATATACAATGTGCCCTTCTTTTACTCTCCTGAGATAACACGAGCATCACTATTTTTTGTAATCAAATCTGTTTGCTACATTACCTACCTAACAAATCACAAAGCTTCTTTGCAGCTTGTCAGTTGAGTGGAAGCTAACATGTTAGCATCAATGCCCTTTGTCCCTATACATTACAACATTAATATGAACTAATGCTGACATTACATGTAGGAACTGTTTAGGACTGGTAATTTGATATACCCTCCAAACCCAACAATTTCCGTCACTACATGTACAAAAACAAAAATTTTATACTGTGGTTTTCCACTTGATACATTCAAAACTTTCCCAGAACACAGCAGAGGCACTATTTAGTCTTGACTTGCCAGAAGCGAACCACGAGTTACTGTTTGTGACAATTGTACATTAAGACCAATATTTTGCCTAACATGAACTTTGATAAGCAAGAATAAAAACATGTGGTAAACATGCAGCAAATCAACTGAAATGTTATCTAGGAACACATTTGTTCCAACTTACCTGCCAGTTGTAGTACATGTGGCACAGCTTGTAGGTAAGCCGCTGCATATGATCAGGCTTCAGTCCACTGGTGTCGTACACGACATTGTAGTGGGTTGGCGAGACACTTCCTGTTTGAACAGCCTGACTCACGATGTAGAAGTCATACCTAGTAAGCACAGGTTGTAATAATTATCTCCTACGAAATTAATAAAAGAAAAGTTGCAGGAACAGCTTAAAAAACAAATTAACTTATACCACTCTGGCCGGGTGACGTCTGTGTCAATGACAGTGCCTGGGGGAGGGTTGAACACGGTGCCATTTTTGTGGTAGAAGAAGCGGGCGCTGATGCGCTTCTTCACTACCACCACAGTCAGCTTGGGCCTATGACAAGCAGATAGAGAGGCACCAACAAAAACGGGTAATTTTATTGTCTAGCTGTATAATTTGAACTTTCTAAGCTCCCCCACTCAGCAGCTTACATAAAAGAAGTACCACAGTAAATCAGTTTTTGCATTACATTTGTTTCAACACCTCCTCTTTCTTGTTTAATCTAGGTTACTATTGTATATTGTCAGCACCTCCACATGAATGTGTGTTTAAAAGTCCTCTTGTGAAGCTGCTGGATTTAGAAGTTTGTTAAATTTCCAAACAGCTTTTAAGTGCAGCAGCTTCTTAAGAGGGCTTTCAAACACACCAATTTTAAAAAAACAAAACAACTTACACATAGTCCTGCCCGATGGACTTGATGGAATCCATGATCTGTGAAACCTCATAGTTGACCACGCTGTGCAGCTGGCCGTCTCCCACTCCATCTCGGTACACAATGATGCGTGAAGGCAGGCAGTTATTGAACTTCAGATAGTCTTTCAGTGCAGCTAGAAAGCAGAAGTTTAAGTTATTAAAAGTTATGCCTATATTCTATATTAAAATAAAATGTTAAAAAATAAATAGTTGAACTGAAGAAAGCCACTTGCCAGTTAAGGCCATTTTCAGCCCATCCATAATTTCCTGGCCTCTGTGCTGCAGCACGCACTTTGAGAACCACCTTGAAAACAATAGGAAGTATCACTCAGCATATAAACTTCACTGTGGAGGCCAACAAATAACTACTATATTACTGCCTTGTGCACTTTGAACATAAATACATTCAGAATGCAAAGATAGAAATATCTTTATCATGACACACAATTACCCATCTCTGTTGCAGTTACTAACCTGCTCATGCTCTGGTTGAGGCTGGCCACTAGAGCCCCAATGGACCTTTTCCCAGCAGTGGTGTCATGGTAACAGTCAATACCGACAATCATCAGCTGTTTGAGCTGCACAAACAGGTGACAAAATGTAGCAGTGAACTGCTGTGTTCCCATTTTTTAATACCCTAACTTTAACCTCTGAATAGAGTCAAATCTGTCGTATAAACTAATACACTTTCTGCCTCTTATGATTCTTTACTCTTAGAGACAGACACATCATTTGATGATGAAAAATGAGTACAACTAATCAAGTCTACAGGTTAGGGCTGACTAACAGTATAGGTCACGTTTGCAATGCATACCTTCATGAAAAAATATCTCATTTTTGTGTTCCAAATGTTTGACATAACCAACAATATAAATAAGACAAGCGGAAGCTGGCAAATGACAGATGGAGCTTTGGGTGTCTATTACTGCACCAGCTCTTGTGAAACCAGCCCCATATCTAGGAATAAACAACCCTGATTCAGGCCCAAAAATCCTAAATCTACTTGTGAAACCCTGTTTAAATGTGAATTTTTGATAGTAATTAGTGAGACATAAAGTCCCAGTTTCATTCACATCATCCCCTTAAAACAATTCTTTAAATTAAATCAATTCAAAAATCTTTTTATAATTTCTTTGAAAGATAACTGAACTTTTAATTTATTTAATGTTCAAAATAATGAGTGTGTATGTGACGTACAGGGATGTCAACGCTCCAGAGTTCCCCTCCCATCTTGCAACTCATTTGCAGTGCAATCTTTGTAGCAACAGTCATGAGTGCCTGAGGCCGGCTGAGCGTACGGGACACCACGCACTGGCTGGGAGTAGGACAGTCCACACAGAGGTACTTCTTAACACTGTCATACTTGTCTTTCCTGTTGCTCGAGAGGACTACCACCACCTAAAAAACAAAAAACACCCGAACGTCTTGAAATGCTTCTCAATGCCTTAAAACACAATACAGAAGTCATCCAGGTGCTTGCTGACATAACTTAATCCTCCCTGTCTGGAACTGAAGTTGAAGTTATTGACAATATTGTAAATATGGCAGCTCAAACATTTTAAGTTTATGCTGTTTATAAGAAATGTCACAGAACTGTCTAAATAAACATCAGAGGTCAAAACCTATGATTTCTTCCTCTGTGTCTATTATATTGTATATTTAGTCACTAACCATCTGTATTTGGGGTCCAACATTGTGTTGCAGAGCTCTGAGGAGAGACTCTTGATGATCGTCATATTCAACCCTGAAAAAAAGAAAAAAACATGCTATACATGCTATAGCCAAAGATCAGAAACAATACTTTTAGTTGGGCAACAATATAACGTTATAAAGTTATTTTTAAGTATTCCACTTTCAACATAAATTAAAAACAAAAACAACTAACAACACTGTTTCAAAGTGTTATAGACATCACACATAACCTTATACAAATTATACATAGTGTCACACAGTGTCTAGGTTTCAGTTTGGACAGTGTCAGTGGTATAAGCAGCCGGATTTTTGGATAGGATGCACTTTACATTGAACTTACACAACAGGTCTCTGTATGCGGAGACCCAGTGGACCTGAAACTCTGCTGAGCGTCTGGACAAGAGACTGGGCTTCGTTGTGGTTACGACGGGTGTGAAACATGAGCCAGTTATTCAGCGGAGGAGACTGCATCAGGGCCAGCCCACGCATTTCTCTGGACCAGTCAGCTGTCATTGGGTTGTACTCATACTAGGTGATACAAATTATCATATTAATCACTCAATTAAGATCATGTGAAAAAAAATCCATCTAATGATTTCAAAAGAACATATTCATGCAGCTACAAGCATATTATACCGATTTCGATCCCTGGAAAATCGTCTCTCCTCGAAGGACTCTGCCAGTTAGATGTAGAAGTTGCTCATCAAAGCTGAGTCCCCACTTATCCAACTCTGCCTGTGCGTCAGAGTCCCTACGAAATAATTTTCAGGATTTAAATCAAAGCCAGGGATTATAGTGCCAGAAGATGTTGACAAGAAATTTTGCTGTTATAGCTTCTGTGCATATGAGCAGACTAATTACACAAGCTGCTGAGATGAGGGCAACTTTTTGGGGAGACAGTTAAAAGCCACAATATTCATGATTGATTGAAAGATAAATATGAACACTAAGATGTGTCACATTTTTAAGTTGGCAGGATGAAGTTGTGACAGGGTCGGTGTTAACATTTGACAAACTTGTGATGTTTATAATTTCTCCACTGTTGGGATGCAGCTAAAAAAATGAGGATTTTTAACGCCTTAAAACCCACATCACTTTCTGGAGTAGTGACATCTGAGTTAATGTAACTGGAAGCATGCAGCATTTCTGAGTCCGACACATTTGGCTAAGACTACACTGACAAAACACATCACCTACTTCTGTATATGAGTGACGAATCTATTTAGCCGTTCCTCCCTCTTATCTGGGGTCAGTCTCGTGTGGGTGCTCAAATCCTTCATGATCCTGTAGTCAGCTCGCATCTTATCACTCAAGCCTGTCAAATACAATGAGTGTTACTTTAAATTTCAATACATTTCACTGAATGGTGTACCGTGGATGACATCTGATCAGACTAAGATGTTTTGAACCCAACTGCTGTCACCAATAACTACACAAGGATTTCAGTCAACATACTCCTAACGGCAGCCTTGTGATCAGATAATTGTGCCTCAATTACAGCAAAATATCTTCAGAATATATGTATTTCTTTAAACCAATGCAATAGGTGGCATACTAAATTGAATAAAAAGGAAAAAAACAAAACAAAAAAAAAAACCACTGACATGATCATTTTAAATGAGAAGTCAAACACTGCAGAAACAGGTCCAACCTGTAAGATAGCACAGCTCTGGGACGAGCATGGCCGGGCCAGGAGGAGGACCTCCAGAAGGACCCATCTTCTTCACATGGCTGATCAGCAGGACCTGGTTCCCATCTGAGATGTCTAGGCCATATTGCTAAGAACAGAAAGTATAAATATTTGAACATAGACTGGACTAACAGTGGTCCCTTCTTGAGGCTAATATTCAGATCTACGCTCCTTAAATTCTTTCATGATGATCCTATATTTACTAGGGGTGTAACAGTACACAAAAATCACGGTTCGGCACGTACCTCGGTACGGAAGTCACGGTTCGGTTTGGTGCGGTTCTCAGTTAAGGGGAACATTTTTTAAAAAACAAAACAAAACAAAAAAACCCTGCTCATAATTAATCCAAAACATTTGTTTATTGTATTAAACCAAAAAGCTGTTAGCAGCTCAGTAAATCTAGTTAAATGTGCAATGTATACAAATGTAACAGGAATACTGCTGCATTGTTCTCAAAATCAAATAAACAAAACAAAATAAATAAAAGTACAAGTGTAGCATTAACAATTCCAGCTTATTGGTCTGCTGTAAATATAACTGAATTAATTTTCCAGTATAAAAAAGGAAGACACTGCTGCAAACAACCAAGTTCAGCGATAAATAGAATAAACAAATATTTTTTAAATGAATGAAAGACGTATTAAGCAGCCAAATTTGAGCTTGTGTGCTGTTCATAAATGGGGCGAGTTTGTAAAACATGGCTAACTAGCAGAGCACTCTGAGAGTGCAGACCTCCACCAAGCAGCTCATTTCCACTATATTGTGATCTCCAAGTTCTGCATTCATTTGGTCAACACCATTAGAATCATGGATAATCAAAACATAGCTTCAGCATTTGAATTAACATTGATATCAATAACAAGCTGACGGAGTGATGAACGGTTGTTCCGTACTCTCTAATATTTTCTACACTTACTGCTGCAGTTACTTACTGGCTTTAAGCTGTTAGCTAACGCTATGCTAGGTTGTCATAACTACAGCGATGTTATTGCTAACACAGACAGGGAGTAGCTTAAGCTAGGTTAGCACAACTTTAGCAATGCAACGGAAATGAAAAGCATGACTGACACAACGAAGCACACATCAGTTGTCATGACTCATGGCAAAGAGAGTTAAAGTGAACCAGGAGACATGCTGAGTCATTGTTAATGTCACAACGTCGTTATGAACTTATCTGTCAGTAGCTCCACTCAGCCCACTCCTGTAATGCTGCCTGGCTGTAGCTTACTCATGTACTGCTGAGAAGACAGCGGTGAGGAGTGAGAACTGAATGGAGTCACAGCTCCAGCACAGCGGGCAGTTACGCTTAGATGCTGCCTTTTCAAATTAGTGTGTAAGTCTGTCGTGTTGTTGGATGCATAGTTGAGGACCGCTTCACAGTGTGGACATGCGGCTTTCGCCTTGTCGCCTTGTTTTTCTCCTTTTTTGGACTTCACCAGGAAACCGAAGTGATCCCAAACGGGTGATTTCAATGACACCAGAGCGTCTTCCAGCTCTGGCTTGTTGTTGTTGTAGCATTAGCCATCCCATTTGCAGGCCATACAGACCGGGCTTACAGGGAAGCGCCAACAGGACAATAAACGGTCCGTCACATCCTGTGGTCCACTGGAAACTCCTACATGTTTTTAGCTCTGCAATACTGCACAACTGTGAGCCGGAGAAGGTGCACTGCAACTGTGGGCACCATGAGATTTAAAGGTTTGCAATTTAAACAATTCTGTACATTGGCCATTCTTGATAGTCTTAAACCAAAAGGCCTGTACCGAACAGTTCTGTACGAATACATGTATTTGTTACACCCCTAATTTTCACCAATTTCAATTTTTTTTTCTTTTACACAATTTATCAAATGTAGTTACAAAAAGCATCAGATATTCCACTTTCCCCATACCACTGTAAGGCTCATGTTAAATTTCACAGAAAAATGAAACAAGGAGAAAAATCTCTATATATATGATTTACAGCATTACATTTTAAATATTCCACAAAACACAGTTTTATGTTCTTTCTACTTGTAGTTATGGTTGTGCTGTTTCCACAAAGGTTCAGAACTTCAGATGACAGTTAAAAATGAGCAAACACAGAGTGAACATAGCAGGAGCAAAAAACTATAGAAAGATTTCTCAATAACTGTGTGAGTTAGTCATTGTCATGTGTTGAGGCAGGAAAGTTTATTTCAAATATTCCCATGTGTTGAGTGCACAACACTTACAGTTTTGTAGTAGTTTCTGAAGGAAATGTCTGTGTCTCCCCTCTTGAAAGTGTTGTTGGGAGTGTGATCCCATGCAATATCGTCAATCTTGTAGGTTTTGTTGTTGTACCTAAAAAATTGAAAACAAGAGTACAGTGAAAGAACAAGTATTAAGCCAGCTACGGTTACAAAAAGGTACTCTGAAAATGATGTATTTGTTGGGATACTACAACATCACTTCCAAGTTTAGAAATATTAACATGTAATACCTTGATATGAATACAAGCAGTTCTGTATGAAATGTGGCTCTTACTTGGTGAGGACTATGAGCCCGATAAGCTCCTTAGCACATATCTCAGGGAAACGCTGAATTCCACATTGCTGCCTCAGATTGGCCATAATGTCGAGGACTGTCTCACTACGTAGCACCCTGTGGCTCACGTCAGTGCACATCATAATGGCTGACTCATACTTCAAGATTGTAGTAGTGAAGCCTGGCCAGATGGTAAGTCTAAAATAAAAAGACAGGACAACTTTTTTCATCCCAGTGTTGTTTATTCATTTAACACATTTCTGCCTTTTCCCTATAAATACCTGTGAACTCTGTAATGGCTTCTCACTCAGTTTAAAAACCTATCCATCTAGATTCAGTTTAACCTTGAAACACTTTGATATTTCTTTTCAGACAAAACAAGGTACTGCAACTATTCCCATTATCAATTAGCATGCCTCATATTTCTGTTGATTATTTGTTTGGTCTATGAAACATCAAAAAAAAAATTTAAAAACTCATCTCAACTTTGCAGAGATAAACATGACATTTAAAAATGAATTGTTTCGATACTTTACTTGTGTTTATATACACTGCTGACATTACTTTTCTTGCTTGTGCGATATGATACACCTTAAAAAGACATTTGATAAAGTTGACATACTTGTGCTGTGGGATGTTGAGTGGATCACCGGGGTTGTAGTAGTTGCGTCCAATCTGCTGCATGTTGAGAATTCTCAGGATCCTGTTGGAGTGAAATGAAAAGATTGGAAATTTCCCATGATGCAACATTCTGTGTCGAGTTGTATTAATACCAAAGCTTTTGGTCATTACTTCTATTTAACATGCAACAACTATAACCACGATCGTAACAGTCACAAGCAAATCCTATTAAAGAGGAATGTTTGATGTAATTTGACTGATGTGGTAGCTATGGCACTGCAAGATGTTATTTTGTTATTCATCCATCCATCCATTTTCCATACACCGCTTAATCCTCACTAGGGTCGCGGGGGGCTGGAGTCTATCCCAGCCGACTTAGGGTGAAGGCAGGGGACACCTTGGACAGGTCGCCAGTCTATCACAGGGCCACACTTAAGAGACAGACAACCAAGCACACTCACATTCACACCTACGGACAATTTAGAATCACCAATTAACCTCAACATGTTTTTGGACTGTGTGGGAGGAAGCCGGAGAACCCGGAGAGAACCCACGCTGCACGGGGAGAACATGCAAACTCCACGCAGAAAGATTCCGGTGCCCCCACCGGGACGCGAACCGGCAACCTTCTTGCTGCGAGGCAACAGTGCTAACCAACTGCTCCACCCTGCAGCCCCCCACGTTATTCATTATGACTTTTTTTTTCTTTTTTTTAAGGAAGACCTGAAAATTATAAAGCTTACCTTCTGAATATGATATTGTAAAACTGAATGCACACTGGTGATGTGGGTGGTAGTTCATTTGTCAGGGTGACAGTTATCTGAACCTTCTCTCCATTCCTGGTCACACTATGCAGCACAGTCACCTAACATAAGATGAGATGTTTCATTACAAGAAAGGAAACCCAGATATGTCTGAGGTAACAATATTCCCAAATTTTCTGCTCAATGAAGTTGCAATTACTAATATACTAGTTCTATTAAATACTTTTTGTTTTTTTTAAAGGTGTATGAGTACCTTGTTGTGCAACCTGTGAGGCAGAAAAAGCATAGCTCCATCATAGCTTCTTGCTGCGCCAAGTGTCTCCTCATGCTGGAACAGGAGGGCAGATCTCAGGCGTCGAGACTCCATTGGCGGTTTGAAGTCCACGTGGTACTGATATAAAACCCACTGAGGGCGGGACAGGATGCGAAAGAAGTTTGCTGTCAACTGAATGGGAGTGCCGGTTGTTCCTGAGGAAGCACACACATGCACATACACAATTTTACAGGATAGCTGACAATCCTCTCCAACAATTTAAAAATGCCCATTTGTCAAATGTGTCACTGGATGCTAATTTAAAGTGACAGACCAGACTTGGACTCCTTCACATGCTCCATCAACTGTCTGGTATTGACCCCTTCATCGTGAAAATCCCTGCGGCGTCCACCTCTTTCTCCCAGCTTCACCTGTTGAAATCCAGCTGAAATCTGTAGAACAGCTAAAACAAAACAAGACTTTGAAGAGAGGTTTGAATACATAGCAATGCAAAAATGAAATGCAATACACTGTATGAGCATGCATGAGTCTGCACTCTCTTCAGTCCCGAGACTATACAATAGGCACACAGACTGTCAATGTGTGCCCGTTTAACTTTTTTCCTTTAATCCACTCATTACAAAGCCCCAAGTGCCCTGCACTTTCAGCCTTTCTATTGTTAACTTTTCTCTGGATATTAACTGCATATCGACATCAGACTTAAAAATCAAGAAATGACCAAGATCATTTAACACAAGAAACAAATACAAGATGACTCTGGCCTTACTTCCTGCAGAGAATGGTCCTGGGTCACCTTTCTGCCTCCCTCTACCAACCAAATCCCCTCCCTCTGCAGGAGGGGGAGCCGGTGGTGCAGGCTCTTGAGGCCGGATCTTCAAGAAAGACAATAGTAAGATGGGGTGAGAGACTGTTAACATTGTCCATTCTTATTGGAGAGAGAAAAATTGTTGTGATTTTTCTTTTGTGTTTTTAAAATTCTCTACCTAGCAAGCATATTCCCTAACGTCTGGAGAATGTGATTTCTACATCAGGGTTTCTTTGAAGCATCATAATGTTTCATATAAATGGTATGCTGGGACACATTTTGCCACATTTTATTGAAAAAAATGCGGTTCAGACAGGACACTTTGTCAGATTTTAACCATATATTTGAGATCACATGCATTTAGTTTGGCGGTGACTCTGCTCGTGATGCTCTGGAACGATCTGCGCAAGCATGACACAGATAATCCCTGAGATCACAAACCCCTGCAGAGCCATGAATTTACAATTTACAATTCTTCAAATACAGTATGAACACGAGAACAGGAGACCAACTAAATAGTCTTCACTTACAGAATCTAGATTACATAGTTCAAGGTACAATAATGACTACAACCTACAGTCCCACGATACGGGAACCACCAGGGCTATATGAGATTGAACCGTTTTTAAAAGGTGGTGGTTGGGGAGGAGGAGGAGATTTGACGATCTGCAGAGGCTGGAGTAGCAGCAATGTGGTGAGCGTGAAGTAGGCAGAATGAATGAATGCTGACTCAGTTATAAAGCACGCTGAGTGGGTGGGCTGGACTTTAGCGATGACGATTGGACAGGAGGGGCCATGTGACACCCTGACTCCGTGCCTGTCTGAACTAACGCGATGCTCTATCTCCTGCAATGTGGACATTCAAATAGGCCATTTTTATATAATGTTTTGATTAACAATTCAAGCATAATTCTGAGGGAGGAAAAGCTCCAGAATATTTGGTTTGAAACTATTTAATAAATATCCAACTCTGGAATAGTGGTTATGACTGCCACTGTGTACCATAAAATACTACCAGTTTTCTGGGAAGCTGGGCCTCGGGGATAATAGCATTATGTGCCACAAATAGACGTTTCATTGACAGCAATAGAAAAATTGTTCGATGACATGTTCAATAGTTTAACCGAAATGCACTGGATGCATTCTGCAATGAAAGCACATGTGAAAAACAAATTTAAAAATTAAAAAAAACTCAACCATGTTCCCTACCTGGCTCATAACAGCCTATTAGATCCCCTAATATGGCCCCTTTATTCTCTGCTGCTCTGACTGTTGGCTTCTGTGTAGGTCTCTCTAGGCTGTGTTTACCTGGGCCCTTCCTTGCAGTATTTGTTAAACATATTTTCTTTTAATTTCAACGCACTTGGCCAACCGATATTCAAGCTTGGCTATCCCTCTGAGGAAAATGGTCACATCTTGAGGCTCCAGATATTCAATTCAAATAACTTTATTTATCCCCGAGGGAAAATTCAAAAGCTCACTGTATATTTAATGTAAAGACATAAAAAAACAACAAAAAAAAACCATACAATAAACCACATCATAAATATCACATTATATTACATGGGACGGATTTTGGAGTCAGGGGACATGAGTTCCAATCTGTTGAGCAAATTCCTGAAGTGGTCTGAAGCTGCAGCTGCCTTTGCTATAGGGTGGATGTAGACCAGAATAAAAATAATAGATACTACAATAAACAATAATAGATACGGATCACGTCATCATCACTATGAAACGTTGACCATGCAAGTGAAATTTCAGTTTGGGAAACACAAATCAGACAGTGTCTGACATAAGACTATAGTGTATAGTTATGCCGCAAAATTGGAGTTACACTCCTTGTTGTTGCCAACCTTAAAAGCATTACCTGTGCCTTGAGACATAAGTTTTAGTTGGTGAATTCGACGTAAAGCTAAATATAGGTCTTTATAAATAAAAGGGAAAAAAAAGTTTAAAAAATAAATAAATTAACACTGATCAGTTTAAATGACATGAAACATTGTATGGTGATACATTCGTTGATACGTTCTGGACATATCAACGTCCCAAAAGAGCCAGGGAGATGGATAATGGTGGACTGACATGTCACATGACCGTGAAAGCAGCTCTTACCGCTCCTGGAGCTGCAGTCTCTTGACCACGTGCTCGGCCTCGTGCTCTTGCTCGTGCCCTACCGGTCATCTTGGCTGGTCTCCAGATGGGTGATCTCCAGATGGCGCAATAGTCTGAGCTAAAAAAAAATAAAATAAATAAAGCTCAAAAGAGCTACTGCTTTACTATGAATTATATTTCTAACAAAGACTCATCAACCGCTGTGGCTGATACAACTTTCCAACAGGACGAGGCCTACTACTTATGGTAGCTAAGGTGACGCTACTTGACCTGACGTAGTTTAATAGCTAGCTACTACATGCTAGCAGATATCAACACAAATGAAAAGAAAGTTTTTAAAGCACATGACTTGACTTTTTTTAGCTAGCACTTACGTTAAGTCTGTTAGCTTCCGTTGCTAAACGCACTTTGCAGTGATTTTATGCTAATAGACCGATTTGCTAGCTAATTAACAAACCTGACAGGTGGTCTGAAAGCGGTAAATTTCGATTAAAGCTAAACTTTTACAAGACACCTGATTCACTATGTTGAAGCGAACACATACTGGAGAAATTTTAATAAACTTACTCACTATTTTGTATTCAACCTTTTCCTTTCAACTCACCTCTGACGCAGTAAGGACGAAAAGGACAAAAAAAAATCGGTAATCTAGTTATAGGCCTCTTCACGAATAAAATTAATACGCTTGTAAATTTTTCGTTAACGTTCGTTCAGATGCTTTCGTTCAAACACTTCTTACGTTTAAGTGACACATAATTAACCATCAAAGTTGCACATTTTCAAAATCTGGCTTCTGAAAATGGT